CTCTTCTTGGAGCGCGTTACCGTAGGCAGCGACGTAGTCCTTTGCCCACTTGCGTAGAACGATGGATGCTGGTGAATGTTAGTTGTGAACGACAGAGTGGAGTATGCGATGACTTACCCTTCAAGAACTTCTTGCTAGCATACTTCTTAAAGAAGGCCTCGTGAATGACAGGGCTGGAGAGGTAGTCGATCATCAGCTGCAGGACAGGCTGGATCTCCTCCTCGCTGTAGCCGGCGTAGTGTGTGAGGGTCTCGTCCCAAGGGCCACGCTCGAGGACGAGGCGGGCAAGGTACATGGCAGCGGCAGCAACTTGGCTGGGGGGATGGGCGAGGAAGCGGTGGTCCAGGCAGCCGATCTCGAGGAGGTACTTGCCCAGTGTGCGGGTCTGGATGTCGTAGTTGTCGGCCTTTGATATCCGGCGGAGGAAGTTCATGGGGTTGGGGTAGCTGAGGTCGTAGTTGAGGGCAGCGAGGACGAAACGCTCGGCACTGAGGATCTCCTCCTCGGTGAAACCATCATCGGCGACATGACGGAAGTTCTGGACGTGGGGAGAGAGGACCTCCTCGTACTTGGACGCGATGAACATGGCGGTGACACCAACCAACTGAAGACGGTCAAGCTGGACGATCTTGGCTGAGAGGAAGCGGTCGATGATGTTGACAGCAAGGAAGAGAGTCTCCGGGAGGAGGCGGAAGCGAGTGTGAACTTCGAGTAACCAGTCGACGAGAATACCGCGCATCTTCCACTCAAGCTCAGTCTGGGACTCCATATAGTCCGGGTTGGCCATGGTCGCAATCTCGAGCTCCTTGAGGTACTCAAAGATCTCAACAACGTACTCGGAAACCATCAATGGGTCATCGACGTCCTCCTTGTCTAGGTCTGGGCCCTTGTAGAAGACCTCTGTGATGGGCTCGAGCTCCTTCTTGGTGCCGTTGGCAGCCTTGGTGTCCTTCTCCTCGGTAACGTTCTCCTCTGGGACAACGTTCTCAGCCTCCTCTTCATCTTCCTCCTTGAGCTCCTCCTCGGGGTCCTCTTCCTTGACGGTCTTGGTAATTTGCATTCGCTTCTTGGCTGGTTGGCCGGCGATACCGTTGCCGCTGGCACCGCGCTTCTTCACCTCGGATGAGGCGAGGTTCTTCTCCTTGGGTTCTAACATGGAACGCGTCGAGTTGGCCCGCGATGGCTTCTTGATGCCGGTGGGCTGTGCTGCTTTGGAGACTGCGCCCTTGGTGGCCAGGACCTTCTTTCCATCCTTCGCGACAGCACCGAGGCCGTCGGTCTTGGTGACATTGCTGACGTCACCGAGGGCAGCACGCTTACGCGTGGCAGCACCGTTCGCGCCTAGAGTAGCAGTAGACTTCTTCGCCTGGAGAGTCTTCTTGGGCACGTCGGCAGCAGACTCGTTGGCGCCGAGGTTGGCGGCCTTTGCACGCGTCAAGCGTGTCGTAGCCGCGTTCTCATCGTTCTCGTTGGTGACGGCGCGCTGCCTGAGAGATCGAGCCTGTAACACGCGTTAGTAGAGTGAATCGTGATGGACGTGTTGCTTCGCGCCGATGGGAGATGGGACGAGAGCAGGTGGGACGAGAGCAGGTGAAAGGGCGACGACGTACAGCGGGAGGCATTGCAAGCAATATTATGTATGCTGATCAAGGCTAGAGAGGTATCCTGGTGCTGAGTATATCTGGAGAGTGGAATGGCGGCTGTAGGACTTGTTTTGATACACTGTTTTGAGGTGTCAGCAGAGCTCGGTGAAGCTTGAAAAAGCGCGCGTAGAGGCTGCCAACGCGGGAGCATCAAGAGCCGCGGTGTGCATGCAGCGATGTCGCATACAGAACCACGGTTGATGCTCGCGAAAGCTGGCCGGACTGACACGCCCGATGGGGTGCGGCAGCGACGGTGACGTGACGGGCGAGAGAGACGAACCCTTGGAGCGCTCGGTGCGTGGTAATTGAGTGGACAGGGTAAAGGTCCAGCTGCAATTAATCGTGAGAGGGAGTGTGGAGGATGGGGGAGGGCGAGAGAGGATGTGCACCAAGGTGTGTTGTGGGTAGGAAGAGAGGTATGTTGTGTGTTTTGAGCGAGGGCAGGCTAGCTTGGCTTCCACGTCCCACGCGCCAAAATCGCATTCGAGGCTGGCAGAGGGCAACAGTGCACGCCCCACAGGCGCGTCAGTGGACTTACCAGAGATGACACCAGGCCCCAACGCGTAAACTTTGCCCGTGCAGTAAGATGGGTCGCGGGCGAGCAGCTGGGCTGTGAGATGGGGGTTCTGGCAGGTGCAGCGTAAAGATGGCGAAGACGACGAGCGTGTTGTGGTGGGCGAGGAAGCAGACACACGTTGTTGCTGGGACATCGCGCCCTGCCTGCCCGACCCACCCGGGCCGGCCTAGCCAATTGCGGCGGGTTTGAGAATTATTCGTGACATGACGAGCAGCTGCACGCCATCCAGCCGGCGTCCATTGCACCAGCGTGAAGCATCCAGCGTCCCCAGCTGCACTCCCAGATATGCTGCAGCCGCGGATATGTCGTTTCCAGCCCTCGCGACTGGGCCGGGCGCTGCTGTCTGCCCGCACCTACGCACAGGTCCAGGCCATCGACCTTAAACCTCCCCCAGCGATACAGCCTACCGTGGCTGCCGACGCCGGAGTACTGAAACAGGAAGGCTCGCGCAAGGAGAAGTTTATCCCTCTGCGCACATACAAGCCTCGCACGCCTGGTCTGCGCCATCTCAAGCGACCCGTCAACGACCATCTGTGGAAGGGACGACCGCACCTGAAGCTCACCATCGAACGGAAGGGGCAGCATCTCGGAGGAAGGAACAACACAGGACGGGTCACGGTCAGGCACAGAGGTGGTGGCCACAAGAGGAGGATACGCATCGTCGACTACAAGCGATACCTGCCCGGCAAGCACGTGGTGGAGCGGATAGAGTACGACCCCAACCGGAGCTCGCATCTGGCCCTCATCACCCGCGTGGCTACTGGAGAGAAGTCGTACATCATCGCCGCAGATGGCATGAGGGCGGGCGATGAGGTCGAGAGCTACAGGACGGGTATTCCCAAGGACCTGATCGACAGCATGGGTGGTGGTATCGATCCCGGTATGCTGGCCGCGAAGACAGCCGCACGTGGAAACTGCCTTCCCATCCACATGGTGCCCCTCGGTTCGCAGGTATACAACGTTGGTACCAAGACAAAAGGCGGAGGTGTCTTCTGCCGCAGTGCCGGTACATACGCCATCATCGTGAACAAGGAGGAGGTGGAAAAGGGCAACAACTCAGAGATCAAGCACGTTATTATCCGCTTGATGAGCGGTGAAATCCGCAAAGTCAGTGCAGACGCATGCTGCACCATTGGCGTTGCCAGCAACCCGCAATCACACTTCACATCGCTTGGAAAGGCCGGACGTTCACGGTGGCTCGGAAAGCGACCAGAGGTCCGTGGTCTCGCCATGAACGCAGGTCAGTTCTTGAATCATTCACTTCAGTTGCAGTCTTCTAACATGTCGCAGCCGATCATCCCCACGGTGGTGGTCGTGGTAAATCAAAGGGTAATGTGCACCCCGTCAGTCCGTGGGGCACTCCAGCAAAGGGAGGCTACAAGACGAGGCACAAGAGGAACAAGCACACATTCCTCGTCCAAGATAAACCCCGCAACCAAGGAAAGCGGAGGGCGAGGTAGGGTAGCCGCCGGTGTACTATATGCTCAAGATGCAGCTGTACCATATACTGTAGTCGCATGCCCTGCCGTCTACCAATATACATCAGTACTCACCCAGTTGCGTTTCGACATGTTTGCACAACAGCAGCAAATGCATAATGTTAGCTGTGCTGTCTAGACTCCAGCTGGTCTGGCTACCCCAGTGCTTTACCGATACCCCATCATGCGCATCGCACAACCAAACGTGCATCCCCTGTTCAAGCAATTCGGTACCATCTGCTCGAATTTCGCCTTCATCAAATACTCGAGGCTCGGGGACTCTCTCGGTCGCATCTGAGGTCCTGACGTGTGCCAGCAGAGTCCAAGCTCGGGGGTCGGAACTTTGGACGTTGCGGCTCTTCTGCAATCTCACGACCACGGCTTCCTGGGCATGCATAGATCACTTGGCTGCTTGTGGCCTGGGCAGAACCAGATCTCCTGCCACGAGCTCATCAAGTCGTGTAATGAACAGTAGGTGGCATCATTATTTAACTTTGAGCATTCTTATCTCTGCGCGCACCGTTCAAGTACGTGAATTCATGATTACTACTGGTGTGACCGTTGACAGGCCGACACCTGGTCTCCATGTTTGGGTTGATGACACAAGACGCTGCGCGTAGATCGGTCGCATTTTGATCCATCTTGGGCTGGACTACTGCCCCACCATGCCGCTCTGGCGAAGCTGCATACAGCACCTTGCAGCCACGAAACAACCACATGTACAACAGGGCACGCAAAGAAACACCATGGGCTCCAGCGTAGCTATCAGGACCTAGAGAGCAAACTCTCTGTATCAGTAATCGTCTATGTAGCTGCGAACTTGCGGTAGGGGGTCCTTGCTGGCAATCCCAAGACTCGGGAGATCCGCCATAATTAGTCCATATGCTCGACGTTGCACATCACCTCACGCTTAAGGCAACACGCATTGCGCGGACGGCCTTGCAGGTGAGACCAGGTACATGAGCGTAGCTCAGCCATGGCCTGTTCTACACCCAATAGCACATGCACTTCTGACATCCTACTCTTACACCCACCTTAGAGGCATAACGCGCTCTTAGTGCTGATCAACCGCTGGTGCCTACCCGCGCGCATTCGAGACTCCGAGGTCTTCACCGACACCGACGCTTAGAGCGACCGTTAAACTGCCGACGTAGCTTCGATTAAGATCTCGCAATCAAACGGAAATCGTGGCTTGACAGAGGACCATCCGTTTGAGCCGTGCTTACGCGGGGGCGGTTCGTCTGAGCCAACGTGGATCCAAGACTCCTCCTGGACTGCCAAAGACCAGCAAGATTCGCCAACATGGCTTCCAACGGATCCGAATCGCCAGACGAGTCGTTCTTCAACGACCTCTCCCAACAAGCGCAAGACCAGAATGCTACCAACAGTCAGGAAACGCAACAGGATGGATCAAGCAAGGTCAAGAGGATTGCCTGTGTTCTGTGTAGGAAGCGGAAGTTGCGATGCGACGGCACCCGGCCAACATGTTCGACCTGTAAACGTCTGAACCACGATTGCGCATACGACGAAGTACGCAAGAAAAGTGGACCCAAGCGCGGCTACGTCAAGCTGCTCGAACAACGGCTGCGTAAGTTGCGCATACTTCTGCTGGTGGATGGTACTGACTCATGGGATACAGAGCAAGTCGAGACCCTCCTCAAGACCCAGGACACGACCGACCCGAGCAAGGAAGCCCCGCGCCAGGACGCCGCTTCCACATACGTTGCGAACACCATAAGTCAATCGCTGCCGAATTCTACAAATGTTCCCAATACAGCAGGCAATACTCAGTCGAGGATTACTGGCGCAAGCCCATTCCAAAATACCGGTACAAGCGGAAATGATGCGGAGGACACCTCGTGGGAGATGATTGGGCTAGGGCTCGAGGAACCTCTACCTCCTCAAGAAATCCAGGACGATTTGTACGAGCCAAATCCTGCCTGTAGCACGGTGATTTCGCTGACATTTTGCCAGATATCAAATATATTTCGCCAAGATCCATCTCTCAATACCCGTCATACACAGACCACGGTTCATGGCCGCTCTGAACCTGGCTCCTCATATGCGACCGCCGGTTTGTCTGCGATATATCATGTGGACCCTAGCCGCTTCCATCACAGACAAGTATGAGGCGTTACAAGAACATTTCTACCAACGTGCTAGGAAATATGCGCAGATGGATGAGATGAGAGGCCACGGAGAGTCGACCATCACCCTTGCGCATTGCCAGACATGGGTTTTGATGGCTACGTACGAGTTCAGACAGATGTACTTCCCAAGAGCCTGGATGTCATCCGGGAGAGGTTCAAGACTAGCCCAGATGATGCAGCTGCATCGCCTGGACGGAGTTGGACTAGATGTAAAGCAATGCTTGGCTCCACCCAAGGATTGGACCGAGCGTGAGGAACGGCGGAGAACCTTTTGGCTAACCTTTTGCATTGATCGATACGCGAGTATTGGAACTGGCTGGCCCATGACCTACGATGAGAAAGACGTAAGGACACACCTCTCGTGCTCATACTACTGCAAAGCCTGACTGTTTTCTTAGATCATGACAAACCTGCCAGCAAGCGAAGAAGCGTTCGACAAGAGTAAGCCCATGGATACTGGATCACTGGACCAATTACTCAATCCTAATGGCGTGCAAAACCTTCAACCACTTGGCGGTATCGTCCTTACAGCTGCAATGTTTGGCCGTAATCTGCTTCATTTACATCGACCACTGTCAGATGACAACGAGAACGATATCAATGGCGGATTCTGGAATCGACATCGAAGCATCGAGCGTATACTTCTGCAGACCTCGCTGAGCCTGCCGGATAGCATCCGCCTGCCATCCGGTATAGCCGAACCCAACGTAGTGTTCACGAACATGTGCATACATACGTCGGCAATATGTCTTCACCAAGCAGCCATCTTCAAAGCAGACAAATTCCGGCTACCAGCAAGCGTCAGCAATGAAAGCAAGATTCGTTGCGTAACAGCAGCAGCCGAGATTGCTTCCATCATGCGGATGATCAGTCATATGGACCTCGGTTCAGTAAGTCTTTTGGTAACGGCCGACGATTGGCGTTTACTGATTTGGGCAGATGAATCCTTTTATATCTTTCTGTGTTTACGTAGCAGCAAGGGTATTCGTCCAATACCTGAAGACGCGGCCGAAAGACCAACAGATGAAATCCTCGTTACAATTCCTCTTACAGGCGATGGAAGCTCTTCGACGGAAGAACCCACTCACAGAGTCGTTCTTGGTGCAATTAGATCTTGATCTAGAGGGTGCAGGTCTGCAGGGCATGCGTCATCAGCCATACACACAGCCCACGCGCAAAGTGAGTCAAACCCCAGAGGTTCTCCAGGGACTCAGTGATACGATTGGGAGTCGATTAAGTCAGAGTTATCCCAAGTAAGTTACTAATTCCTGACCCATAGCCTACCATCATTTCGATCCATTCTGATCCGCAAATCGCCTGCAGTCCGTTAATCAATATACGCGAACCGAATCAACCTGCCGCACCCCCCAGTACGTTCGGGAACGGCATTCCAACCACATCGGCATCGACTTCCAATACGCAATACTCGAGCAGCGCCCCTGCTCCGCCATTCCAACTGCACAATATCGACAGTATCGACATGAACGCGCACAATGCGACCTTCTTACCATCTCAATTTGATTCAAACAGAGGCTTCGGGAGTACTGCAGCTCAAGCCTTCGCGCCCGCCGGCGGCTTTACTTTCCAGGACAACGAGATGGACCTCTCCGGAGGCGATAGGGGTGTCGATCAGCCCAGCCCCGCCACAATAAGCTCACAGTCAAGAGGAGGCTCGACGTCACATTCTTCTTACTCACCAGGCCAACCAATCGAACACAACATGCCATACCGGGCATCTCCAAAGATGACGGGGCCAGGCTCTGGCAGCGTCTTCCCAGACCTCGCAGCTAATGGAGGAACATTTCCTACAAATGGCTTCAATCTACCTAGAAACATGGGCAACGAAGCTTATACTGATGGCTTCGTAATGGGTAACGAATGGGAATACGCAGCGTTGAACGCGGGGACAGGCCTGACGCCCATGGCAGACGCGTCCTGGGATTCGATGTTGGAAAGCGTCACGATGGGATGGGATTCAGTTGGCCCTGGGCATGAGAATCAACCGAATGCTGCTGGAGTATGATGGGATTCGTTGTTTGGGGATGTGTACATTGAAATAGCAGGATACCCACTTTCGCTTGGATTGGATTTGGTGTTAGGGCTGATAGCATGGGTGGGCTTGACTTTTAGGTCACGCGCACATTGGCTTCGCGTGCTTTCTGGTAATCGCTTGCCGACGGTTTTAGATGACGTAGTGCTACCTACGCATTATAGAGGGCGGATAGAACGAACGTTGTATACTATCATGTAAAAACAACACTGGAACTGGCATACCCAGGTATCATCCTGGGTCCTTGTGACATTCCCCCGGATCCGTGCACGCGGCTAGACATGTACATCGACGGAACCACCTCGGATCGAAATTGCGAACGCGTTGACAGATGTCATTATCGAGGCGAACTCGTTGTTTTTGAAGCTAACATATCATATCGATTGCAATCGATACTTAGCCATGCTCTCGATGAAAGGACCCTGAAGATCCGGGGATAATGAGGCTTGCAGGGATGGGGGCGGTCTGCGTCACACCTGCAGTTGCTGGGCAACCGGATCGAGAAGCTACGTGCAGCATCGCAACCACATCACCACCGCTTTTTCGCTGCGTCGGGTCGTACAATTAATCTTCACTTCTTCACATATCGTTCTCTATCCCTGTTTCTCTGGGCAAAAACGCTGGCACTCCCGACTGGTGCACCGACAACCGTACAGCAAACAGAGCAGTAAACACCGAGGCCGACGTATATTCGCGATGTTCACGTCGAAGGAGAGGGAAGGTGCTGCGTCACCAGGGCCTGGAGCCTACTATTCGCCGTCCCAAATGAGTAGGAAATATAGCGATGCCTTCGCACCTGCCATACTGACGATTGGCATAGAGAGCTATCTTCAAGACCTTCGCACAAACCGCCCCGCTCGTCCCACCGGAGCTCGACCTGCTCCTGCACACTTCAACACATGGTCGAATAGATCCAGCAACCGAATGTCCGACTCGACTGCCATCTCCTCCCTACAGCGTACTTTCACAGACCCTGTCGTCGACGCCGATGCACGTCCCGCTTCCTCGCACGAACCGAAGTCGCATACCCGAACAACCTCCAAAGCGAGCCTAGATGGAGTCGTAGCCAGTGTTGGAAGGCCACTAGTGCAGCCACCACGCGGGCGGGAGACATCACGATCTTCGTCACGATCGCGCACACCCAGCGTGCAATACCGCGAGAGGGAACAGCGCCAGGCAGAGCAGGACGAGGCACGGGCTATACGCGTGGCCATGGAGGACTTGGAACTTGCAAAGGAGGAGGGCAAGATATTCGAGGCCGCACGAGATGAAGCCGTCGAATTGGTCTGGAAGCATTGCAATCCCCATGCCGCCGCGGCCAGTCCGACCAAACCGTATGCATACCCGGGTCTGGCCAGGAAGAACAGCGCGCAGAGGAGTCGGAGCGTCGAGCCGAAGGATCAGGATCTGCAACGGGCCAATTCTAAACTGCGGAAGCGACATTCGATGGGGAGTGCCGCGTCAGGGAGCCGGAGTAGTAGCTTGCAGAGCAACGGCCGTGCAGGCGATGCCGATACATCAGCTGCTGGAATCGCGTCGCCTACCAAGAGCAGCTTTGACATTATCAAGGGTAAGAACGGCGAGTCACCAGCATTAGCCAAAGCCATCTCAGACCTTCCAGACTTCAAGCAACGACGAAGAAGCAGCGGACCCCGTCGAACCATCAGCGGTAGTCTTTTCTCCAACCCGAACGACCAGATATACGAAGAACCCGAAGAGGAAGCACCGCCTGCTCCTAAACCCACCCCCGCCGCCGAACCACCCAAGACCGAAAAACTACCACTAGGCATACGGCGCAATCCCTTTATGCGTTTCCAATCAATCAAGGGGAACCCACTGGTGAGGTCCAGCACGGATCCTGCCATCGCGACGAAGCGTTTCGACCGCTATGAGATACAGAAGAACCCACCGACCCAATCGAGAAATGCAGCGTATACCCTGAACTCGGCAGAATCGAAGCCAGCAGAAGATGTCAAGGCGGACGTGGAGAATGTTCCCGAGGTGAAGATGAAGGATGGCAAGGAGATCAGGAGCGACGAGCTGCGTGCTGCTACAGGCTTTCGTCTGAAGGACCGTAGTGCGAAGCTACCTACTCCTACAGCTGTCTCAGATGCTCCAGGACGACCGATCGTTTCTTTCCAGAAGAACTGGAATGTGATTGAAATGAAGGAAGAGATATCTGCTGCACCCGATCTGGCACCAAAACCTTTGAACACAACCAAATCTGGCCCGCCGCCACTGGAGCACGCCGCAACTGAGCCTGTCGTACCTACTATCAGTCTCGCACCAGAAGTGCCCAAACGAAACATCACCCCAAGACCGCAAGTTCCAGAGATCAACGTTCCTTCCGAGCCTAAAACCAGCCTCGCACCGGACGTACCAGAACGAAGCACAACTCCAAGACCGCCTGTGGCTCCAGAGGCTAACAGCTCGTCTGGTTCCGCGCCCGCACCCGGACGGTTCAACCTGAAAAACAAACCTACCATCAACATCTACGAGGACCCTCCAGCCCAAACGAGACCTCTGCCGCTCACCAGCTCGCTAAGGAAAGCCAATATACCAACTCGTCCTTCTGCTGCTCCTCTGCCTAGTATCAATGTATCTGACTCAGCGCCTGCGCGTTCGAGGACGACACCAGCGCCGCCAGTTCCTTCTATTTCCGTGTCCGAGACCCCGTCGATTTCGGCCAGGAAGAACATGTTCAACCGTGGCCCCTACGTTCCGCCAACGAGTGCTACGCCGCCTATTCCCAGCATATCAGTCAGCGAGACTCCAACACCGAGACGAGGCTCTACAACACCTTCAATCTCTGTAACACCGGAAGTCCCTTCGATATCCGTTAGCGAATCACCGGCGCCAAACCGTGGATCAAGAGGCAACGCTCCACCAATTCCCAGCATCTCTGTGAGCGAGACGCCCGCGCTGAGAAGGGGAGCGACTGCACCATCTATCAACGTGACTCCTGACATTCCGACCATATCCGTCAATGAGACCCCAGCTCCGACTCGCGGACGCAACAGCAATGTACCTTCGATCAACGTCAGCCCTTCAGTGCCTTCGATCAACGTCAACACACCCAAAGGCTTCGGCCCAGCCGCATCAACACGACCACTGCCAGTTCCAAACGCCCAAAACAAGTCTCACAGCTACAACGGCACAGCCACCCCTCGCACCCACTGGACCCCAACCACCGTCCGCACCGGCGCTCTCTGCGCCCAATGCGCCCTCCCCATCGCCGGCCGCATCGTCTCCGCCTCCGGCGCGCGCTTCCACCCGGAATGCTTCGCCTGCTACCAATGCGGCGAGCACCTCGAATGTGTAGCCTTCTACCCAGAACCCTCCAACAAACACGCCGAACGCGTCTCGCGCATCCGCGCCCGCCTCTCCGGCGCCGACATCCCGTACCTGCCCTCGCACCCCACCGCAGACTCCATGGCGCGCCTCGAGCACGACGACGGCACAGACGAAACGCCCCGCTTCTACTGCCACCTCGATTTCCACGAGCTGTTTTCGCCCCGCTGCAAGAGCTGCAAGACGCCTATTGAAGGCGAGGTTATTGTGGCTTGTGGTGCCGAGTGGCATGCTGGTCACTTTTTCTGTGCCCAGTGTGGCGATCCGTTTGATAGCAACACGCCGTTTGTAGAGAAGGATGGGTATGCTTGGTGTGTTAATTGCCATACGCATCGGTATAGTACGAAGTGTAAGGGGTGTAGGAAACCGGTTACCGATACCGTTGTTAAAGCACTGGGGGCCGAGTGGCATGTTGGGTGCTTTGTTTGTGTGGTAAGTTTATCCCCCGTCTTTCCGTCTTTTGGGTCAGTTTGCTAACGTGGGAAATAGTGCTGCTCTGGTCCGTTTGAAGATGGGAGGTATTTCCTTCGCGGGGAGAGTCAGGATCCGGTTTGTGTTAGGTGTGAGGAGAGGAGGCTCAAGGCTTGATCCAGGCTGCTTTACTTGCGCTTCTTTGCTGCTGCTGTTGTGTGTGACAATCTACTGTTGAGCGTGTTTGCATATTGTTCGCATACATTGGTGTTTTGGGTATGGGGAACGGCGCTGTTTGGGCGTTTTCTGGGTAGCATAAAGGTAGTTGGGGAGTTGTAATATGAGGATGAGATTTGCAAGTCATGTTGAAATTGTGGGTGATGGCTAGTGGAGACATGGAGAAATCGTGATATTCATTGATGTGTACTAACTGACGCCATGATTAAGTAAAGCCCTTTTGAAGGTAGAGGTGATAACGGCGTGTTACGAAAGCAGCCTGAGGTCATGTTGCAGAAGACATTGCGTGCGCTCGAGGGCTCGTTGATGAAATTGAATCGAAGACAGCTGCTACTAGTCTATACCACGCAAGCATAATAGTTCCACCTCATACAAGACAAGAACTAAACACCCTAGAGCCTACATTAAGATAAAAACATGCAAAGTAGGTAGCCTAACGTCAACGTCGGCTCTAGGGTAGTAGAAATGTATTTGGCACCTTCCAACACTGTGATCGCCGTCTAAGCTAATCTTTCCTGGGGCCATCAACTGTTGACGCGCTGACTGTCGTATGAAGTTACGTCTTCGGATAGTGTCCTTGATTTCTTCTGCTGTTTCTTCCCCTTCTCGAAGCTCTTGACTCTTGTGGATAGCGCTGGCCCGTCTGACAAGTTCCCGTCACGAGGATCCGGGGTATTATGTGGGTCATCCAACGTCTCTTTGGTAGTGGTTCCCTCCACGGGTGGACGGTAGAGGACCTTGTATGCGGCTTTGCAGGTCCCTTGCTTCCTGTTCTCACGGAGAAACCATTCTAGACTACAGCGCCACGCCTCTTGGATCACGAATCTGTGCTTACACGCGTCCCATATCTGTCCAGAATTGAGGCTACGAGCTTTGCGAGTAACTTTGTATCCACGGACGATTTGGGCGATAGTCATATTATAGTCCTTGATACCTTTCTCGAAAATGTTACCGACTTCTTTGTCAACGAGTTTCTGTGCTTTCATAGTCCAGGTGTTGATAATTGTGTTCTCCCACTCGGTGGTTTCATCTTCCAAAATTCCAAGGGTATCTGGACAATTTTTCTTCTTTTCTCCACGCTTCTTCTTCCCATCGTGCTTTGTGTTGTTTTCGTCATCCTTCTCCTTCTCTATCTCATTCTTCTTCATGATATCCAGTACCCATGCCACGGATCGCTGCTCAGCGTCATTTCGACTCATGAGTCGAGTAGAGCCAGTCGTAAGAATACAGGGGAACTGTGTGACCTCTGGCCGATTCTTAGCTAGAAAGAGACGAACCGTGAAATGTATTGTTTGTCGGTGATAATTCTCGAATGAAGCGTTCCCATCTTCTCCAGCATCTTTCCCCAGGAAATCTTTTCGAACTTGGACGCCATCCAGTAGTGCCGGCGGGAACGAACAGTGATGTACGTTGCCTAAAGATAAAACGTCAGCTTTGTTCCATCTGGCTCATGTACCTTTAGGGCATATACCTCCGCTTAGTGTGTGACTCAAATAACGCTTTCCTGGACCGGCTGGACAGAGACGCCTGTACAAGCTCTCCGTTCTGATGAATCCATCGGTGAAATGTGTCGCGTACTGAGCCAACATCCAGACTAACGTCAAATTCGCAAGTCCACAATCTGGCCAGCCACCCCCTATGTCGGAGTGATCTCCAGCAAACCAGCACTGCTGAATATGTGTTTTGCTACTTGGATCATGTTTCCAAAGTATCGGCTTGTAGAAGTGTCTTGACTCGTGCAGCGCTAGCGCCTGGAACGCAAATTTCAGGTTGGTGGGCACCGTATCTTTCACAAATGAGAGGGTGGGTGATGTCTTCACAAATGGAAGGGTGGGCGATGCCATGATGGCGGATACGGTATCCCAGACCCCACAGCTGGTGATGCTGACAGGATGAACCGCCAGAGAGCCTCTCTTTCCTTCGGCCCAACTGGTTAAGCTAGTTTTGTTTTGTGATGACCAGATCTCGTAAACTTCCTTGTAGTGCTTCGTCACGTACTTTTCCTTGAGCAAACCCATTTTGTCAATCAGACAGGCCAGACTACGCACTGCAAAGGCACCTCTTGAGAACCCGATCAAGTGAATTTCTGCGCCGGCATTGTTCTCATACTTCGCGCAGAGGTCGAAGTACAGGTCATGGATGATGGAGTGAATATCTGCAGTTCCCTGTTACTTGAAATTCCCAGACGCATATTTATAGCTATGATGCATCACTGTAGGTTCACTGACCTCCTCCCGTAGCCTGGTAGCCTTTGTCCACTATCTTTGGAACGCTCATCCCACCGGCATTCTCAGGCGCATGAGTTCCTACACCGGCTACACCAACGTGCTTGACAAATCTTGACTCGGGCACACATGTCTTGAATCGTTGGACATTTGTATCCTGCGTGGGTTCCGTGTTTTGAGTCGCGTTCTGTCCCGTTCCATCGCAGAAGACAAATATCCTTGTCGGCGTTGTCACACGCGGTCGTCGCGTTTTGCCCATCGTACGTGCGTTTCTCAGAGAGCGAAAGGCGCTGATAGCGAATACTCCTTGATCTCTCAAGGTTCAAAGGGCGAGGGGATAGAATGGGAAGGTAACATTACCAAGTCTTTTTCTAATATGCAAACAGCCTTACGATTACCCCTCACTCCTGTACCAATCCCAGTCAGTCACAATGCTGTAAGCAGACCTAGCAAATGAGCAGTCGCATCTATACGACTTCACGAAAAAGGCTCGCCTGGACGTCTAGGAGATGATGTGGTGCGACTTATGTGGCCAATACCTCAGTGCATACTTATCGTGGAGTCTGCCGAAGTGACTATCATTCAGCCAGCCACCACCAGAATTGGGAAATGGTCGATGACAAAGAGCCCAGCGTCGCCAATTCCGATACCATGCATCTCGGAAGGCTAATATACGGAAAGGTCCACCGCAGCCTGTGGGCGTTGCGAAGGCATGGCAATACCTGAATAATGCCTAGGCGAACGTAGCTACGCCATACTATAGCATCTCAAGCGCATCCTAGATGCCCAATATCTCTTGCAGCGCACGTATCCTTCATCGAAGGTAGCGTGGCTCGATTGGTGGGGAAGTCTAGGTGCGTCGCGACATCCGGACGGCAGGTGTGGGGAGGAGATGCAGTCATGCAACGGCCGTTCTTTCACTTTTCGCGTGCAATTATAAGCTACTCGATTCGAAATCATGGAAAACAGGGAGTTGATCGCTGTCTAGGAAGAGCTGCGCAAGTCGTTGTTTGTGCGAAGAAAGAAGAAGAGGACCAGAAGGGTTATTGACCAGCGCTAGGCTCTTGCCTTTCCAGGTGAGCAAGATGACGTCACGCAACTGGGAGAACATAACATCCACCCACAGTTTTTGATTATCAATAAGAGTGACCGGGAGTCGCTGTGCAAGTTACTAGTACTAGATAAGGAAAAAAGGCTGAGTCATTCCACGGTTCGAGTTCATGTTATCTCGGTACTAACCACTGTACTCACATGGGAGTCATACACGCCTACCATGATATAAGTGCACACTATCCGTAGCCCATATTCTAACCCGCTACAGCCATTTTAAGTCCCAACTCACAAGTACGCAAGCAGTCATGTCTTCATCAAAATTTTCATCCACGTCACCCCGTTCAAAACGGCCCAGGACTCTCATATCCCTTGAAGACGAGCAAGATTTCCTCACTACGCGGGTATGGTGTACTAGAAGGTATATGAAGACGCTAGGCGAAGAACTAAACCACGAAAACATGAACAGTGCGAAGTACTGGGAGAAAGCAACGGAATACACCGTTTTGGGTCGGGAGTTATCGTTATACCAGCTCCAGAGAGCTGGAGTCGACCATCGTATCGCTCGTAAAAGAAAGGAATTCCGGTCTAAGGTCAAATTTATGAGAACGGATAAAGCACGGTTGTTCAGGGAGAGCATGATGGCTTGGGATTTGAAAGGGAAAATATACGAGCGACGATGTGCTACTGCAGCAGAAGCAGTCGAGACTGAAGAGAGCACTAGACTGAAGTCTCTCATACCAGTTTCTGCTATGCCTCCATCACGGTTCAACGTAGAAGCCACCTTCGCACCCCACGGTTTCAGAAACTCCATCATCGCAGACCAAGGAATGGTGGATCCCAGGGAAAAAGACAATCCCATGTACTGGAGTTACCTCTGGAACATCTTCTCCGGAACCTACGAATACGGAGGCTATCGGCGGTTTGAAGCTCTACCTGTTTTCGCCTCTCAGTCCAACCCAGACCTAGCCACCGCACTCTTCGGGTCCAGCAACATCGACTCCCCTTCTTCTCTCTTCTCATCATTCAACGGACTTCTCCTACCCGATTACATGGGAGCACGCTTCGACAGTGGTATCATGGCCATTGTTCCCGATATCTCCTCCCCGACTTCCCCATCTGATATCGCACTGTGGAAGAACACCACACCAAGAGAATACAAACTCAAGATCTTCACGCAGAACCGAGAGACCGAACAGACGGGTGACCTGATGCAAGATATCAATTCCTTTACAAACGCCCGTAAGCCAGTTCCACTCCGCGATATTGACGGGTCGAAAGTAGGATTCCCTGTTTCTAGTCGGGAGGGTAGACCGAGGGAGTGTTATCTGTTTTTCCACTATTGTGTGCAGATACTGCGACAGGCTTGGAAGGGTCTTCCTTCAGTAGACGGGGAAAGACCTGGGACCGATTGGGGTGATGTGGGAAAATATGTTAGACGTGAGCAGATGCGTGCCGTTATTGATGAACTTGGGGCTGAGTATGAGGGCTTGATGGGGTGTGCGGGGAATGGCGTTGGCGATGGTGGAGGAGATCGGTACACGCTCCTTGAGGCACTGGCTGAGCAGGTTATTATCAGTAATCAGATGAACGGGAGGAGGGATGAGTTGTATGGCGATGAGGAAGATGAGAGTAGCGATGAACACGACTGCGACGACGATTGGTGTCCCATGAAGACGCCTTATTATAACCCAACTGATATAGCGAATACGTCGTATCGTCTGGACGAATAGTTTGGTGAGAAGACTGGATCTATATCTTACTTGCGATGTGAGGAGATGCATAAGATACCCCTTCGCATACCGCCCCATAACGCATGACATGACCTGGACATTTTCACTGTACAATATACTCAATTTTCCATTCTCAATGGTACATCTAATAATACAAAAGGGCCTTTCAATCAATCCATCGCCCCGAGTCAAACAAAGCTATAAGCCGCAAGAAAACCACGCTCAAAACCAAGTGAAAATACTCCATGCATGCAACCGTCTTTTCATGAACCCACACCAATGTTTTCTTGCCAGAGAAAAACATCGTCCGTCGACATGCAGCCCACCCCACCCACTCCATATACCCTAATTATGCAAGAGATGGACCAGAGCCAGACTTGTTATGAAATGTCTAGTTGATGTGTTGCCTTTGATACCCAAGAAACGCCGCAACGGTTTGCTGAAAGAAAGAAGGAGGATAGCAGGCAAAAGGAAGATATGGCAAGAAGGGATGACGTAACCTTGCTGAAACAAGAGGCCTATCCTTTTGGCCATGGGAGAAAGTGCAGAACCTCCACTCAGAGTCCAGCATATCAAAGCTCTACTGACTGCTTCCATGATCATATCCGTTCGAACCATTTGTTACGTCAAGAATCCTATTCGGCGCCGGACTCGACTTCTTGACGGGCGGATCAAGGATGGTCGGACTGGAAAGCGGTTCCAGGCTCTTGACGGGCGGGAAGATAGGCGTCTCGGACATTTGATGGCTTGATACCGGGCGCATGGCGTCATGTTTTGAGGGCGCGGGAATGGGGTCTGGGAGCATCTGCGCGGGCATTTGGGACGATGGTGATGGAGCTATGCGCATTGGTGCTGGGGCCGGGGAGGACATGTTTGCTGGGAGGGGCGCGGGCGAACTGTGTTTGGTCGGGGAGAAGGAGGGGCGGTTGGCGGAGCTGGGTGGGAAGGAGGAGTGCGGGCTGTTGAAGTTGAAGCTTGGTGGTAGGCCGTTGGTTGGACGGGGGGAGGCGGCTGGTGAGTGCTTTACTGGTGAGCCGCCTGGGCCTGCTGCTGATGCTGGGCGACTGAAGCTCCGCACATACGGTGCTGCGGGTTGTGGTGGGCCGAATGGATTCGAGTTGAAGGGGTTGGGACCGCCGAAAGAGCTGCCGTTCTGCTGTGGCTGTGGCATGTGGAAGCTTTTTGTTGGGCTGCTCGGTATCCGTTCGAGGTTGTACGGTGGAGGTGACGATGTTGGACCGTTGCCAGTTCTGTGCCCAGGAGACGAGAAGTGAGATCGTATTGGCGATGACATGCTACCGTTCGCGCCCTTGGTGGGTGATCCATATGCGGCTTCCGATCTTTGTATGCCAGGTGGACCTAGAGCTTGACCACGGGGAGAGAGACTCGGGCCATCGACCCATGGCTGTGCGGGATGCATGGAGGGCTGGAAAGCTTGTGGTCGTGGTAGTTGTACTGCGTCAAACAAGTTCGTTGACATAGAGGGGCCGTTGCCATTTGCTTCTGCTTGGTTTCGTGGTGACTGAGATGTCAATCGTAGCTTGAGAGAAGGGAGTTTCGGCTCGTCCGCCTCTCCCTCTTTACGCTTGCAGGCAGTGCAAACAAACGTAAACTTCGAATCGTCGGCCTGTTCTTCTGTGATGTCATGGCACTTCATGTGTTGCCAGACATTGCACTTCTCACACGATATTTGTGGGGTGTTGTCGTTCTACTAAAGTCAGCGGAATGCATGGTCGATGTGCAGTAATACTCACCAGGTTGGAGCCGTAAGTGCCGCACTTCTCGCAGTCAAAGAACCAATCTTCCTCCTCGTTAAGCCTCTTGAGATCACTCTCATGCTTCTTCATCATGGCTTTCAGGTGTCGCTCCGATAGCCTGGCATTGTTTGAGGCCAGCTTCTGTTCGTTCTCTTGCAATTTACGCAGCTCCTCTTCTTTCAGAATCTTTGCCGTCTCACGCTCCTTCAGCCGTTGCTCACGAGTCATCCTGCGAGAATCCTGTGCCTCCTCCATCTTCTTTTGCTTCTCTTGCTCCGCCTTGGCCATCGCAAGTTCTTCCTGCCTCTTACGTTCCGCAGCCTCGGCTTCTTCAACCTCCTTCTGTTTCTCGAGTCGCGACGAGATTCGGGACGAGCGCTTCGCTGTAGCAAGCTTCTGCATGTTCTCCAACTCCTTCATCTTGCGGGCCTGCTTCTTTGCTTGCTCCTCTGCCAGCCCCTCCATGACAGGCATAACGTCTTCCTGAAGGCGTTTGTATAGAACCTTTTCGTTTGGATCGCGACTCTTCCGGATGCTGCTCATGTATTCCTGGTAGTCTTCCAAGGTGACGCAAATGCACTCCCACTTCTTGCCGCCGAGACCGTCGTCAATCTCTTGAGGCTGTTGCTCTTCAGTTGCTTGCTCCTCCTCCTCAGCTTCTTCGGGTTCGGGAGTGGACGCCTTTTGTCGCTTGCTGGCTCTTGAACCTCTCGATTTCTTGGGCTTTGGTTTGGATTTGGCCTTGGCTTTCGTAGGTTCGGGAGGAGGTGGTGGATCGGTCATTCGGTACATGCGGTTGTCGTCGAGAACGAATAGCGATCGCTCTTGCGAGTCCCAGCCCGTGGGCTCCATACGCTGTGGCATGTTAGTCGTTGCCCTGCACCAATCCCAGTGATGCTTACCCATAGTGTCTGCTCGCTGTCCGTCGCTCCAATCTTCTCTCTTATTGTGTTCGGGTTGTTGAGCGTCCATACGGAAAGTTGTTGCAAGACGCGTATTTTGGTGAAGACGTCGAAGTCGTGGAACTTGTTGGGCTCCTCTTCCTCGCCAAAGGGGTTTCGGGCGGGCGCTTTCGCGACATACTGTCGGCGGGTGTATTCATCGAAGATTTCGGGTCTACCATCATGTCAGTACTATCGAGACTATGCGCAATGGCCAGGTCTTACGTCAAGCCCTTGTGTGACGATACGTGCTTCAGCAGCGCTAGGCCAATTTGTGCGAGTTTGTCGGATGGCTGTGGTTGGAGACATTCGGATTCCAATTCCTGCACGTGTGTCAGCTCGTGGTCCTTGTAAAACATATGCGCGCCGGGCTGGGATGGCAGGCGCAAAGGGCATGTACCTCGATGTCAAAGTCCTTGTCGATTTTGACCGCGTCACCGAAGAGACTGATGTACTGGGCCAGATTTGCAAACTGCCACATGTTGCGCAGTTTTTGCAGTGTGCTGGGCTCTTCAGCAGGCGCCTCGGCCTCCATTTCGTCGGCGGCGCGTTTTCGAGACGGCATGGCTGCGGTGCCTCGCGTGCGGCGACGCGTGTGAGTTACGTGTGGATATGGTGTAGAGGCCAGAAATGGTGGCTAGCAAATGCGCGTTGTGAGATGGCGATGGGTAATGCTGTCGTGGTGTCGGCGGGCTCGTAGGTAGGGCGATGATGCGAGTGCCGATGTCCCTTTTTGGTGATGTGAGTGATGAATGTCGCGCGTCGATTGTCGGCGAGTCCGGGGGAGGCCCAAAGCGGTAAGGCGCCATCGGCCCAGCCTTGCACATGCAATCTGGCAGAGACAGAATACTCATGACGATGACGAAGAACGCAGACAGCGGCTTTGCTTTCACTACACAGGCAGAGCTATGGCAATGGCATATCGAGTGCATGGCATGAACGTAGGCCGCTTACTAAGACCAGTCCCTATAAACCTTAATGCACCCGTCTTACAGGATATGCGTATTCCAAGAGTATCGGTCTTTCGTGACAATATGGACAATTCGACCGGCCGTCGGTTGGGACTCCACCAAGCCACCGAAATTATCATCGTCACGGTCATGATGACAGGAGGTGACGATGTGAGGCCGCGTGGCTCACGCAAGTGCACAAGCCACAGCTCCACCAAGTGTGGCTCAGTGCCGGAGGATTCCACGCCAGGGGCCAGAGACGTTGCATGGTAAGCCGTCAGCAGTTTCGGATTCCTGGGTGGTGTTGGTTACTTATGCTGTACGGTGGTTCGCCTCAACTTGGAGAGCAAATACCATACACATAATCGCATAACAAGTTCATGTTCTTCGTAATAGCACCGTCTACAGGACAGCGATGACACATGCCAAACACGACAAGTACCGTAGACGTTAAACTAAAATTAACCCTCAGCCCTAGCCTAAGCCGCGCATCCTGGTCGCTCACTACACCCTTGTCCGTGCTTGGGAATCCGCATCCATCCCGCATTTCAACCAACTCTTTCCCACCAAACACACCACACGCGCCCTTTGGACTGCTACGCGCCACCTACCGCTCTCGCCATCGCTGCCACGCTCTCTCTACGCTACGACACTCGCTTACGTTTGTTTTGACGCCTGCATGATCGCGCAATAGCATTCTGGGAGAGCTAGTTGGTTCAGATGCTGGGTTGAACGCCGCATATCAGACAGGACGTCCCGATGTCCTACCCAGATCCCAACCACGGCCGAAGTCACCCCCACCAATCAATACCTCTGCAAGACCTCAATCGCCCACCCGACGGCTTCGACGAAGATGCGTCGCAAGAACACCGGCGCACTCTCAGCGACCGCGGGCGCAATCTGCTCAGACAGGCCGGCGCGATAGGCACAGGGGGACATTTCCGCGACTCTCAGTACTCGCCCATCGTAGAGGTGTCGCCCAGCCCTACGCGATACGCACCGCCGCACATAAACACCAATCTGCCCCCTTCGCATAATGGCATCCGAAGGGTCGTGGACGACGAAGCGCCTGGCTCGCCCTTGGACGCGGGCGCATTCCAGACGGCCATTGGATTCGGCATGGGCATGGAATTCCAGGGCGACACATCGCCGCCAATAGCGACGCCGGCATCGTCCATGTCCTACACACACACACCCTATGGGCAAGAACCATACGTCGACAGAT